TTACTCTTTAAAGAGCAAAGATTCTTTAGAAAAGTTTGCTCTTTAAAGAGCAAAGATTCTTTAGAAAAGTTTGCTCTTTAAAGAGCAAAGATTATTTAGAAAAGTTTGCTCTTTTAAGAGTAAAGTTTCTTTAGAAAAGTCTGATCTTTCAAGAGCAAAGTTTCTTTAGAAAAGTTTAATCTTTGAAGACCAAAGTTTCTTTAGAAAAGTTTGATCTTTGCTGACTTTTCTAAAGAATCTTTGCTCTTTAAGATTCTTTAGAAAAGTCAGCTCTTTAAAGAACAAAGTTTCTTTAGAAAACTTTTAAGAGTACTCTTTTAAGAGTAAAGTTTCTTTAGAAAAGTTTGATCTTTAAAGAGCAAAGTTTCTTTAGAAAAGTTTGCTCTTTAAAGAGCAAAGATTCTTTAGAAAAGTTTGCTCTTTAAAGAGCAAAGATTCTTTAGAAAAGTTTGCTCTTTAAAGAGCAAAGATTCTTTAGAAAAGTTTGCTCTTTAAAGAGCAAAGATTCTTTAGAAAAGTTTGCTCTTTAAAGAGCAAAGATTATTTAGAAAAGTTTGCTCTTTTAAGAGTAAAATTTCTTTAGAAAAGTCTGATCTTTAAAGAGCAAAGTTTCTTTAGTAAAGTTTAATCTTTGAAGACCAAAGTTTCTTTAAAAAAGTTTGATCTTTGAAGAGCAAAGTTTCTTTAGAAAAGTTTGATCTTTGAAAAGCAAAGTTTCTTTAGAAAAGTCTGATATTTAAAGAGCAAAGTTTCTTTACAAAAGTTTGCTCTTTTAAGAGTAAAGTTCCTTTAGAAAAGTTTGCTCTTTTAAGAGTAAAGTTCCTTTAGAAAAGTTTGCTCTTTTAAGAGTAAAGTTTCTTTAGAAAAGTTTGCTATTTTAAGAGTAAAGTTTCTTCAGAAAAGTTTGCTCTTTTAAGATTAAAGTTTCTTCAGAAAAGTTTGATCTTTAAAGAGCAAAGTTTCTTTAGAAAAGTTTGATCTTTTAAAAGTAAAGTTTCTTTAGAAAAGTTTGCTCTCTTAAGAGCAGAGTTTGTTCAGCAACTTCAAGGCTTCTATAGAAAACATTGCTCTATTTCGTTAGAACTTTCTTTACAAAAGTTTTCTCTGTTTAAGAGCAAAGTTTCCCTAAGATAATTTTACTCTATTTCCACTGTTTCCCAAAAAAAAAATTGCATTGCTTAACGCCTCCCAATGTGTGACACTCGCACCCTGACTGACAGTCAACTCTCCCCTCTAATGAAAATTCTTTAGCTATAAAAGCATTTGACGTTTTTTTTACGTGGAAAAAAATAAACACAAATTATTCAAAATAAAAGTGTAGTATTTTTTTTCGATAGGTATATTATTTATTTTTAAAAAATACAATTTGGAACTAAAAATAAACTATAAACAATATAAAGCGCCAGACAACAAGACAGCACAATTAACTTGTATAAAAAAAATTAAAAAAATCTGTATAAAACGACAAGAGAAACACTCGAAATCACAACCAAATGAATTTTCAAATATTAAAGAGAAATAATGGCAATTTTTTTCCACTAGACGCCCTCTACTCTAAACACAAAAGAAAATTTTCTTACAAAAAGAAAAAAGCGAAAAAAAATATTGAGAAAATTTTCAAACAAATATTCAGTAAGAAAAAGTGTTTTGTTTAAGTAGCAAGAAAAACGCAATAAAAGTTTTACGCTTAATTGAAACAGAAAAAAAAAAACAACTCGAACGTTTTAACAAAAATCACATAAATTAAATTTATCGCAAGAAAATTTTGAAAAAAAGTGCAGCCTTTGAAATACAATTTTTGTACTCAAATGCAATTTTGTTGGTTGTCACAAAAAACTGCTGTCAGTGAAGATTGCTGTTTTCAAATGTTTGTTTGTTCTTAAATGTTTTATTGAAAAAGAAAACAAAAAATAAAAATATATTAAAAAAAGTTTTATTTTGTTGGAAAATCGAACATCCAATTTACTTGACTGGTGGTTGGTTGTGTATCTGTTACCATTCATCTGTGTTTCTGTACGTGAAAAAACAACTTTTTTTCTTATCATTATTTGCTGCTGCATTTCATCTTTTATAGTTTTGCTATGAGTTTTTAAAAACTTTCATGGTTTTTGCTATTGTTTTTTCGTTTGCTATAATTGTTTAAATTGTATTTTTTTGTTTTCTAAACATTTATATTTACCACTTTTTTCTACTTCAACAGGATCGTCGTGACGATTTGAAATTGATTGTTAATGCCATTGGTAAAAGTGAACAAATGCCGAAAGTTAGTACAATCATGATGAATGATATTGAAACGGTAAGTTTTTCAAAACTTTGGAAAATATGTGATGTTATAATTTTTTACTTTTTTTTTGCCTTCCTCTGCTGTTGATTGTGGGACTACCACTAGACTAAAAACAATTTGCAAACACATGCTGATACGGTGGAATTATCTTTGACAGAATTGAAAACGAATGCAAAAATTAATAACACTAATGGCAGTAGAGGTAAGTTTTTTTAAGATATTTTGTTAAACTAGTCTTAAGTTCTGCCTATAAACCAAACATTCTATAGGAAGGAAACTTGTTCTAACTGAGAAACATTTCAATAGAAAAAATTTGCTTCTAATAGAGGAAAATTTCTTAAGTCAAAATTCTTTAGATAAATTATTTGTTTACAGAGTAAATATTCTTTATAAAAGGTCTTTAAAGAACAATTTTTTTTTTTAAATAATACTATTTACAAAGCCATGTTTCTTTAAAAATATTGCTCTTTATAAAATTTTGGTCTTTAAGGAACAAATATTCTTTAGAAAAGTTTGCTCTTTATATAGCAAAGTCTCTCAGAAAAGCTCCCGTTGTAGATCAAAGTTTCCCTAAAAATGTTTACTCTCTTCGATAAGTTTCTTAAGAAAGTTTTCTCTAGAGAATCGTTTCTTTAAAAAGTTTAACCGTTTATAGAAAAGTTTACTATTTTTAAAGCAAAATTTCTTTTAAAAAATTTGCTCTTTATAGAGCAAAGTTTCATTAAAAAAGCTTTCTCTTTATAGATAAAATTTTCATTACAAAAGCTAGCTCATTATAGACCAAAGTTTCTTTAGAAATTATTGCTCTCTAAGTTTCTTCAGAAAGGTTTACTCTTTATAGAGCAAAGTTTCTTTAGAAAAGTTTGCTCTTTAAAGAGCAAAGTTTCTTTAGAAAAATTTGCTCTTTAAAGAGCAAAGTTTCTTTAGAAAAGTTTGCTCTTTATAAAGCAAAGTCTCTTTAGAAAAATTTGCTCTTTATAGAGCAAAGTTTCTTTAGAAAAGTTTGCTCTTTATAGAGCAAAGTTCCTTTAGAAAAGTTTGATCTTTATGGAGCAAAGTTCCTTTAGAAAAGTTTGCTCCTTAAAGAGCAAAGTTTCTTTAGAAAAGTTTGCTCTTTAAAGAGCAAAGTTTCTTTAGCAAAGTTTGCTCTTTAAAGAGCAAAGTTTCTTTAGAAAAGTTTGTTCTTTATAGAGCAAAGTTTCTTTAAAAAAGTTTGCTCTTTATAGAGCAAAGTTTCTTTAGAAAAGTTTGCTCTTTATAGAGTAAAGTTTCTTTAGAAAAGTTTGCTTTTTATAAAGCAAAGTTTCTTTAGAAAAGTTTCATTAGAAAAGTTTGCTCTTTATAGAGCAAAGTTTCTTTAGAAAAGTTTGCTCTTTATAGAGCATAGTTTCTTTAGAAAAGTTTTGCTCTTTAAAGAGCAAATTGTCTTTAAAAAAGTTTGTTCTTCATAGAGCAAAGTTTCTTTAGAAAAATTTGCTTTTTATAGAGCAAAGTTTCTTTAGAAAAGTTTGCTCTTTATAGAGCATAGTTTCTTTAGAAAAGTTTTGCTCTTTAAAGAGCAAATTGTCTTTAAAAAAGTTTGTTCTTCATAGAGCAAAGTTTCTTTAGAAAAATTTGCTTTTTATAGAGCAAAGTTTCTTAAGAAAAGTTTGCTCTTTAAAGAGAAAAGTTTCTTTAGAAAAGTTTGCTCTTGAAAGAGAATAGTTCCTTTAGAGAAGTTTACTTTTTATTAAAGTTTGTTCTTTATTTCTTTTATGAAGAACATTTTTCTTAGAAATGTTTAAAGAGCAAAGTTTCTTTAGAAGATTTGCTTTTTAAAGAACAAAGTTTTATTTGAAAAGTTTTCTCTTTTCGTAAATCTAAATTTCTGTGAAAAATTCGTTCTTTATGAAGAAAGTTTTTTTTTTAGAATTGTTGATTCTCTTCTTTGGAAATTGTTGCAAAACTTTTCTCTTTATTGAGTCAAGTTTCTTTAGAAAAGTTTTCTTTATTTTCTTAAATACTTTGTTCTTTTTTTTGGAAAATTTTTAAAATTTTCAATAATTTTTTTAATATTTCTTAATTTTAAATTAAAATTTTTTATAAAATTAAACTAATTACATTGTCAAAAGCATATACATTTCCTAAAATATTTTTACATTTTTGCACTTTATAAAACAATATTTAAAAAATGTATCTTTTTAAATGTTTTTAATATCAAATTACTTTAAATGTCAATCATAGACAATATAACAAATTCCGGCAAAAGCAGCGGAAATTTATTGTCAACAAGTGGATATTGTTTACTTGGCATATGAGCATTTTAGAAACCCTACATTTTAGTTGTATGAGAATTTTGTAGATTTTATGTTTTAATTTCATATTTAAGAATTCTTTTCGGCACTTAATTTATTTAAAAATTATTTAGAAATTTTTCATATTAATTACAATTTTAAACTAGCAATTATTACCCCTTTTTTTAATTGTAGTCCCACCTTTACCAAATTAAAATAAAATAACAACATTTTTATTACTCGATTTTACAGTTGTCGACAGATTTTATTAGACAATTAAAATATGTATATGTATTTTTGTATTTCCCCCAATATGTCGTTGTTGTTGGGGAAAACAAACAGTTCAATGCAGCTGGCTGCAAGCTGCATTAATTTTGCTGCCCCTTAGGAAAACATTTCTCTATGTTTGAGGTTGTGCGTATGATTTTCCATAACAAATTGTATTGTGTTTTTTGAAATAAGAATTTTTATTTATTTGTTTCAAAACAAAATATGGATTTCCGTTTGTAAATTTATATATTTCAAAATATTAAATCTAATACTAAACAGTATAGGGGAGAGCGTTCTGATTTCAAACATAAATTATTTATTATAAAAATTAAAATTTATTTGTATTTTATTATTTTCTTGTAATTCACATATGACTCCAAGTGTACGAGTACAAGGATAATCATTCCATTTCATATCATCAGTAGAACCAATATTAATACAATACTCATTGTTATTTTTAAAATCTGGATTATTTGGTGACCAATAGACATAACTGAACGGTTGACCAGTATAAATCCATATATATTTAAGTTTATTAGTATTATCTCTAGTTGCAATACCTCCAACCCAAAGTGAAATGCGTTTATCAAATGACTTTAGGACGAGTGCATTAATGTCATCGGATTTAGTTTTCGTTTCAATTGTCACCAGTTTCATATTCATGCTTGAACATATACCGACCGCTTCAAACCAATTGTACTATAAGTAAAAAGTACAAAAATATATTTTTAAAACAAATCTTTTCTTCAGAGATTTTGGACTTAATAACTTTTTTAGTTTTAAACTAACCTTTTGTTCCCCATCTATATAATATTTATTATTATTGCTCGATGTGTACATTTCACCCGTGGCCAAGATTTCATTTATTTTAGAAATTAATAAAATCCCAACGATTTTATAAATCCACAAATTGCCCATTTTCAAGTAGTTTTCTCTGCAACAGCTTTCCAGTAAGTGTCTTTATTTTATAAAACATAATTCATGAAATAAAGCAAATGCCCTTTTGAACCTTAAAATGCAGATAAGACAATTCGCAGAATTGGTATTTGTAACGTTTAAACTTTATATATAAATAAATATTTTTATTCAATTCCAAATTAATAAGATGTTGCATTCGTCCATGAAGGGAAGGCAAAATTTTCGAATATTTCCTAAAGAAAGTAAATTTTTCGGAAATTTCCTAAAAAAGTAAGTTTTTCGAAAATTTCCTAAAGTAAGTAAATTTTTCGAAAATTAGCTTAAGAAGGGAAATTTTTCCAAAATTAGCTAAAGAAAGGAATTTTTTCCAAAATTAGCTAAAGAAAGGAAATTTTTCCGAAATTAGCTAAAGAAAGGAAAATTTTCGAAAATTAGCTAAAGAAAGAAAATTTTTCGAAAATTAGCTAAAGAAAGGAAATTTTTCGAAAATTAGCTAAAGAATGGAAATTTTTCGAAAATTAGCTAAAGAAAGTAAATTTTTCGAAAATTAGCTAAAGAAAGAAAATTTTTCGAAAATTAGCTAAAGAAAGGAAAATTTTTCGAAAATTAGCTTAAGAAAGGAAATTTTTCGAAAATTATCTAAAGAAAGGAAATTTTTCGAAAATTAGCTAAAGAAAGGAAAATTTTCGAAAATTAGCTAAAGAAAGAAAATTTTTCAAAAATTAGCTAAAGAAAGGAAATTTTTCGAAAATTAGCTAAAGAAAGTAAATTTTTCAAAAATTAGCTAAAGAAAGGAAATTTTTCGAAATTAGCTAAAGAAAGGAAATTTTTCGAAAATTAGCTAAAGAAAGGAAATTTTTCGAAAATTAGCTAAAGAAAGGAAATTTTTCGAAAATTAGCTAAAGAAAGGAAATTTTTCGAAAATTAGCTAAAGAAAGGACATTTTTCGAAAAATAGCTAAAGAAAGTAAATTTTCGAAAATTAGCTAAAGAAAGAAAATTTTTCCAAAATTAGCTAAAAAAAGGAAAATTTTCGAAAATTAGCTAAAGAGAGGAAATTTTTCGAAAATTAGCTATAGAAAGGAAATTTTTCGAAAATTAGCTAAAGAAAGTAAATTTTTCGAAAATTAGCTAAAGAAAAGAAATTTTTTAAAAAATTAGCTAAAGAAAGTAAATTTTTCGAAAATTAGCTAAAGAAAGCTAATTTTTCGAAAATCAGCTAAAGAAAGGAAATTTTTCGAAAATTAACTAAAGAAAGGAAATTTTTCGAAAATTAGCTAAAGAAAGTAAAATTTTCGAAATTTTCCTAAAGAAAGGAAATTTTTCGAAATTTTACTAAAAAAAGTTAATTTTTCATAAAGAACTCAAATTTTTCTAAAATTTCCTAAAGAAAGCTAAATTTCAGAAATTTTTCTTAAAAAGCACTTTGCAAAATCTCATCAAAGTTCGAACTTCAAAAGAGTATCAGGTACCCATTGCTTTCTGTTGACAAACTTTATTTTGATCTATTAAGGGTTAAATTCATTTTATTTAGATCAAAATACAAATTTTCTTTGATTTCAATTGTTGAATTTAATAAAAAAATAGTTGTGAGCTTCTAATCCGTTTCTTTAAATATTTCTCTCTAAGTTGTTGTAAACCACTCCAAAATTCCTGTTGTTCTTGTGGGTTTTTTAATTTCATTTGTAAAATTTGTTTAAGTTTGATTTCGGTTTGTAAACTCTTCTCTAAAAGTTCCTCTTTCTTTACTAGATTTTCCTTTTCTAATTGCTGCAACTGAACCTTAAGATTTTGCAGCTCATATTGTATTTTATATTGTTGATCTTCGGCTTCATTAAGCCAAATATTCTTACGTTCCGCATCCTCATTTATTAGTTGTTGTATTTCTCCTAGTTTGTTCATTAATGGCTTGCTTTCCGCATTCTCTTGCTGTGGCAGCTCACATATGTAACCCAATCTTGAATCGCAAGATTTATCATTCCATTCCATGTTATAGCCCCAACCAATTTGTACACAATATTCGGAATTAGTTTCAAAATCTGGATTAGCCCCAGACCAAAAACTATATGTAAATGGTTGACCCGTATGAGTCCATATATATTGACGACCATCATGGTAATGAGTCATAACACCACCCACCCATAATTTGATATTTCTACCAAAGGTCTCCATAACCAGTTGATTTATTTTCTCTGATTTCTGTTCCGTTTCAATTGACACCAAATTCATATTCATTTTCAAACATCTGCTTAAACCATCAAACCAAGTGTACTGTATAATAATAAGAAAATTTAATAAATTTTTTAAATAAAATAATTTCGTATTTCTTAACTCACCTCTTGCTCCGCATCTATATAATACTGCTTATTATCGCTTGTCGTATAGATCTTTCCATAGCTATAGATTCCTTTTATTTTGCATATAAATAGCAATGCTATTAATTGATAAAGCGACTTTAAGTGCATTTTCAAGCTATTGCTTTTTCTATAGTTAATTTGAAAATGTTTAATTCAGATTTTATTTTCCTTAATTTATACTCTTAACAATTGAACACAAATCAATAAATTTGCTTATTAATCTCAAAAAAAAAAATCAGATAACCTTTTAGAAACCTCTCCTTGGTTTTGTAAAAATTTTCAATAGAAATTGAAAAGTAATCATTTTAACAGGGAATTCCCAGAAATAATACATACATACAAACCTTTATTGACAATTTTCGCATCTACTTCTCAATTGATCATTTATTAAGTGTAACCTTTATTGTTTAATATAAACAATATAAACAATAATTAAATAAAAAGAAAATTGATTTCTATTTGACTGGAACGAATCTTTTAAAACAAACAACAAAACTTACAATGTGTTGAAATAGAAAATTTTCCAAAAATTTACTAAAAATAGTAAATTTTCCAAAAATTTACCAAAAATAGTTAATTTTCCAAAAATTTACTAAAAATAGTAAATTTTCCAAAAATTTACTAAAAATAGTAATTTACTAAAAATAGTAAATTTTCCAAAAATTTACTAAAAGTAGTAAATTTTCCAAAAATTTACTAAAAGTAGTAAATTTTCCAAAAATTTACTAAAAGTAGTAAATTTTCCAAAAATTTACTAAAAGTAGTAAATTTTCCAAAAATTTACTAAAAATAGTAAATTTTCCAAAAATTTACTAAAAATAGTAAATTTTCCAAAAATTTACTAAAAATAGTAAATTTTCCAAAAATTTACTAAAAATAGTAAATTTTCCAAAAATTTACTAAAAATAGTAAATTTTCCAAAAATTTACTAAAAATAGTAAATTTTCCAAAAATTTACTAAAAATAGTAAATTTTCCAAAAATTTACTAAAAATAGTAAATTTTCCAAAAATTTACTAAAAATAGTAAATTTTCCAAAAATTTACTAAAAATAGTAAATTTTCCAAAAATTTACTAAAAATAGTAAATTTTCCAAAAATTTACTAAAAGTAGTAAATTTTCCAAAAATTTACTAAAAGTAGTAAATTTTCCAAAAATTTACTAAAAGTAGTAAATTTTCCAAAAATTTACTAAAATAGTAAATATTCCAAAAATTTACTAACAATAGTTAAATTTTCCAAAAATTTACTAAAATGGTAAATTTTCCAAAAATTTACTAAAAATGGTAAATTTACTAAAATAGCAAATATCCGAAGTTAGTTAGTTGGTTGGTTAGTTAGTTAGTTAGTTAGTTAGTTAGTTAGTTAGTTTAGTTAGTTAGTTAGTTAGTTAGTTAGTTAGTTAGTTAGTTAGTTAGTTAGTTAGTTAGTAGTTAGTTAGTTAGTTAGTTAGTTAGTTAGTAGTTAGTTAGTTAGTTAGTTAGTTAGTTAGTTAGTTAGTTAGTTAGTTAGTTAGTTAGTTCGTTAGTTAGTTAGTTAGTTAGTTAGTTAGTTAGTTAGTTAGTTAGTAGTAGTTAGTAGTTAGTTAGTTAGTTAGTTAGTTAGTTAGTTAGTTAGTAGTTAGTTAGTTAGTTAGTAGTTTAGTTAGTTAGTAGTTAGTAGTTTAGTAGTTAGTTAGTTAGTTAGTTAGTTAGTTAGTTAGTTAGTTAGTTAGTTAGTAGTTAGTTAGTTAGTTAGTTAGTTAGTTAGTTAGTTAGTTAGTAGTTCGTTAGTTAGTTAGTTAGTTAGTTAGTTAGTTAGTTAGTTAGTTAGTTAGTTAGTTAGGTAGTTAGTAGTTAGTTAGTTAGTTAGTTAGTTAGTTAGTTAGTTAGTTAGTTAGTTAGTTAGTTAGTTAGTTAGTTAGTTAGTTAGTTAGTAGTTAGTTAGTAGTTAGTTAGTTAGTTAGTTAGTTAGTTAGTTAGTTAGTTAGTTAGGTAGTTAGTTAGTTAGTTAGTTAGTTAGTTAGTAGTTAGTTAGTTAGTTAGTTAGTTAGTTAGTTAGTTAGTAGTTAGTTAGTTAGTAGTTAGTTAGTTAGTTAGTTAGTTAGTTAGTTAGTTAGTAGTTAGTTAGTAGTTAGTTAGTTAGTTAGTTAGTTAGTTAGTTAGTTAGTTAGTTAGTTAGTTAGTTAGTTAGTTAGTTAGTAGTTAGTTAGTTAGTTAGTTAGTTAGTTAGTTAGTTAGTTAGTTAGTTAGTTAGTTAGTTAGTTAGTTAGTTAGTTAGTTAGTTAGTTAGTTAGTTAGTTAGTTAGTTAGTTAGTAGTTAGTTAGTTAGTTAGTTAGTTAGTTAGTTAGTTAGTTAGTTAGTTAGTTAGTTAGTTAGTTAGTTAGTTAGTTAGTTAGTTAGTTAGTTAGTTAGTTAGTTAGTTAGTTAGTTAGTTAGTTAGTTAGTTAGTTAGTAGTTAGTAGTTAGTTAGTTAGTTAGTTAGTTAGTTAGTTAGTTAGTTAGTTAGTTAGTAGTTAGTTAGTTAGTTAGTTAGTTAGTTAGTTAGTTAGTTAGTTAGTTAGTTAGTTAGTTAGTTAGTTAGTAGTTAGTTAGTTAGTTAGTTAGTTAGTTAGTTAGTTAGTTAGTCAGTCAGTCAGTCAGTTACTCAGTTAGTTATTTGGTTTGTTTGTTGGTTGTGAACTATACTAATTCATTCACACCTTGTCGTGTCGTGACCGCAAAGTGTCTGCACTAACCTAGTAATGTTTATCACGCATTTTCCATTCACAGTAGTAACAGTAATATGTGTTTTTACAGTGCTTCACTTTACCGTTGTATTTTAATATAGTTCTGTAAAAACGCGTTATTCTGTTAAATTGTATTGTTTTTGTCTAAACTAAACTTATTGTTGGTTGCTGTCAACACTATGTGATGACAAGTCTTGCAGCTTTTTCCTTTAAACTTTTGAAGCTTTTTTCATATGACCCCCCTTTCCATAACTGAACTTGACACTGAAAACTGTGAGTGAAAAATATGTTTAATAACAGCTGCTTGCAGCTCATAAATATTCAAATGAACAACGCGCACCGGAAAGAACACAACCCCATAACTTAGACGAAAGGCTAAAAATTTACATAAAAAGCGGGAAAATTATGGAAAACAAAATAATATTAAAGAAAATATTTTAATTGTTTAAAATGAAAGTGTTTCGTTTAGCAAAGAAAATTGTGATAAATTAAAAATGCTTTAATATAACTAAAAAAGTTTTGAAATAATTAAAAAATTTATAATACACAGATACAATTTAATAAGAAAATTTTATAATTACGAAAAAAATCTTTAAGTTAAAGGAATAAAGTGATTAAATGTATAAAATTGTTTAACAGTACATAATTGCCAAGAAATATGAAATTTTTAAAGTTTTTCTCCAACTTCTTAAAAATTTGGTTCATCAATAAAGGAGATTTTGGATTTTCATAATATTGTCTTTACAGGTAACATTTTAAAATGCCTACAAGGTTACTACTTCTTGCTCTATTTCAAAAATATACAAACTATGAGCAGTCTTTCGAATTTGTTCATTTGAAATTTATATAGAACAATATTTTGATTAAAAATTTACGCATTTTTGAATAATTTATTTGCCAGGACATTTTATTTAAATTTATTTTACAAAATATCCTACTTTCACGTGAAATCATTTAGAGTTTTATTTAAATATAATTTGTTTCCTGTACAGATATCAAATAAATGGGATCATATCAAAACAAACTTTGAAGCAGCGTTAGTGCCTTCAGCCATAACTTGAAAGTTGTTTTTGTACTCTACTTCATGTTATGAGAATTTACATATACGTTTACTGTTTGTCCTTAAGTATTTCCCAGAACTAGAACTGAACTAGAACTGAACTAGAACTGAACTAGAACTAAACTAGAACTGAACTAGAACTGAACTAGAACTGAACTAGAACTGAACTAGAACTGAACTAGAACTGACTAGAACTGAACTAGAATGAACTAGAAACTGAACTAGAACTGAACTAGAACTGAACTAGAACTGAACTAGAACTGAACTAGAACTGAACTAGAACTGAACTAGAACTGAACTAGAACTGAACTAGAACTGAACTAGAACTGAACTAGAACTTGAACTAGAACTGAACTAGAACTGAACTGAACTGAACTAGAACTGAACTAGAACTGAACTATGAACTAGAACTGAACTAGAACTGAACTAGAACTGAACTAGAACTGAACTAGAACTGAACTAGAACTGAACTAGAACTGAACTAGAACTGAACTAGAACTGAACTAGAACTGAACTAGAACTGAACTAGAACTGAACTAGAACTGAACTAGAACTGAAGAACTGAACTAGAAGAACTAGAACTGAGAACTGAACTAGAACTGAACTAGAACTGAACTAGAACTGAACTAGAACTGAACTAGAACTGAACTAGAACTGAACTAGAACTGAACTAGAACTGAACTAGAACTGAACTAGAACTGAACTAGAACTGAACTAGAACTGAACTAGAACTGAACTAGAACTGAACTAGAACTGAACTAGAACTGAACTAGAACTGAACTAGAAACTAGAACTGAACTAGAACTGAACTAGAATGAACTAGAACTGAACTAGAACTGAACTAGAACTGAACTAGAACTGAACTAGAACTGAACTAGAACTGAACTAGAACTGAACTAGAACTGAACTAGAACTGAACTAGAACTGAACTAGAACTGAACTAGAACTGAACTAGAACTGAACTAGAACTGAACTAGAACTGAACTAGAACTGAACTAGAACTGAACTAGAACTGAACTAGAACTGAACTAGAACTGAACTAGAACTGAACTAGAACTGAACTAGAACTGAACTAGAACTGAACTAGAACTGAACTAGAACTGAACTAGAACTGAACTAGAACTGAACTAGAATTGAACTAGAACTGAACTAGAACTGAACTAGAACTGAACTAGAACTGAACTAGAACTGAACTAGAACTGAACTAGAACTGAACTAGAACTGAACTAGAACTGAACTAGAATTGAACTAGAACTGAACTAGAACTGAACTAGAACTGAACTAGAACTGAACTAGAACTGAACTAGAACTGAACCAGAACTGAACTAGAACTGAACTGAACTAGAACGAAGCTTGAAGGGTATATTATATTCTTCTTAACCTCATGTAACCCCTT